CAAATCTTATCACCAAAAACACCCCACCTCCCCCTCAAATACTAAATCTAGACTCCAATCAATGTAAAAAGCAAATATCCTAAGTTTAACTTCTTTGTCAGGTAGAAAGTTACTGAAGAATAACCTTTTCAATTAGCACATCTGTGTTTTCAGATGCTTTTGACAACTCCTCCAAAGGCACTGATGAGATCCTTGCAGGGAAGGGGGAGCGGGGAGGAAAGGGGGACAAAAAAGAAAAAGATGTTTTAGAGACAAATGAAACAAGTGGCATGGAAGTCTTAGTTGAAAGCTATTAAATATTGTGTGCCCCGTATCTGTCCGTTACGATTTCCCTCAATTCGTCCCGGTCATCAGAAGGCAATTTTACTATAGGGAGAACACGTGACAATTAGAGCAGATTTAGCCCTAGCTGTGTATCAGCCTCCCAAAATTAATAAAATATGAAACTTTTCCCTTGGCTACCAAACAGAAAAAGAAGAGAATGTGTGATACATTTTGTAAAAAAAGTATTCTGTATTCTACAATCAAAGATAACTGAAAAGTCTTCTGCAGACTTGATAATGTTCTTTTTCCTACATATTCTTCCTCTGAATTGCTTCTGGCATCCACAGATCCGTTCCTGTATGAACTTACTGATATTTAACAATCACTTGCCTACCAAAAACTGGAGTCTTACCACTTCTGATAAGCATAGTGCTAATTGCATAGCTCTCTAAAACGTAAGATACAGTCCTCACTTGTTCAGAAGAGCACACTTTAAAACATCAGTATTTGGTGTTATCTGCCTTTAGAATCAGAAGCAGACAAAAATCCATGCTGTATGAAGTCTCTAAGAGAAACCCAGGCTTTAATTGTTAACTACGTGGACAACCTTTGAGACTTATATGCAACTACATCCACTGATGTCTAAGTATAGGACAGCTTTCCTTTGCTAACTCCCTTTCTCTCCTAGTAGGCAACTTTCAAGTATGTGTAGAAGTCATATTATGAAATACACTGTTATTAAGAAGGTCATGAAACCTTCTTGGACTAAGTAAATGACAAGCAGGCCAAAACTTTTTAGAATATCGTTTTGTGTTCTAGCTTTGCTGGAACTTTAGTAAGAGAAGTTACAGGATGAAGTGATTTCAGAAAATTCATGAGAAAAGCCACGCTGAGAAGGTTTAGCACAGTAATTCTGCTTCGGAGTCAGGGTTTATGTTTTGGTTCAGTTTTAGTTGTTTGAGTTTTTTTAAACACAAGGGCTTCCATGAAGGTCTGTTCTTTTATTCTCAGTATACCTACCTCAACTCAGCCTGAGAAATAGAATTCTCTGTTTTCTCCACCCACCTCTTAGAACTTGAAATAATGTAGTTAAAAAGTGAGATAAAAACCTTGCAACTTGGCTGCTGCACATCCTATTCAGCAGCAACCAGTTGATCAACCAGTCACCAGCTGGAAAAAGCAGCAGTTACTTTAGGACTATCTTGCTAAATCAGGTGGATGTCACATGTAAGGAGCGGGCTACTGAAATATTCCACTAAGGATCAAGAGACACAATATATTCAACTCTAACAAGTAAATTTCTAATTTTTTCCACTTTTTTTTAATCAATTTCTCATTAACATCATACCATCCTGGTGATGGTGTTGACTCATCCATCATAGTTTCCAATGCTTCATCACCCATCACAGTTTCCAATGCCTCATCATCTTTCTTAGAACATACTTCAGGAATAGAGTCACAAAAATCTAGAAAAGCAAGTCAAGAGTTTTATTATTGCTACCACGTTTTTGGTCAGGATTCCGAGGTGACACAAGTGACTCGGACCACTTCTGTAGACTATTCACAGAATGGGCTTTATGAACACTTCAAGAAAAATAAATTGATACATAAGCAGGACAGCGAAATCAATCCTTTTGCTCAAGTACCACCTGCAGCCAGAGATGGCAGTAGCAGCCAGCACCTATTTGTGTTGTTCCTGAGAATCATGTCTCCTGAACATGCGTTATCTGCTGCCCAGCACCTATCAGTGCAATGCAAGCCACATGTCACCATTATACCTTCCTCTCCACATATGCATCAACTGTGTGGCACATCAATTCCACAAAGCAAAATTTCACTAATGTTTTCCCTACCATTTTCACTTGCATTTATCAATAAAACTCTCTGTGGACTTACTCATCCCTCTGATCAACACTGCCTAAGTCCAAGCAAGGCAAGGCACACTATAAGGATATGTTTTGCACATCAGAGGTACACGTACCTCAGCTCAGGACTCTCTAGAACAATAAATATTTATTTTGGCACATCATTTGGATAAGCAGCCAAAGTTTCATCTCAGTAGTTCTCTACTAACACTAAATTTCAGCTTCTGCAAACATAAATGGCATTTCCTTTTGTATTCACCTCAACACCATCTCCAAAATCCAAGCTCACTTCAAGAACTTAGATGAGGTTAACTTTTTTTTTTAAAGCTTATTGTGTTAACCAGCAGAAAGTTAGTTTTCTTAGTTGCTGGATTCTCAGATCAAGCATCTTAACCACAGCATAGAGAATGCCACAGACACCAGTCTGTCTCAAGCTTTCTGGTATTACCAGAAGCTCACAGTATTACTGAACAGTGATTTAATCTTTAAAATTAAGGGAAATGACCTTCCATTTGCAATTCTGTAGCCTTTTCTTTGCAGCTTCCAGCTTTATACCTACATACCCTGTCCCGGTTTCAGCTGAGGGTTAATTTTCTTCATAGTAGCTAGCATGGGGCTATGTTTTGGATTTGTGCTGGAGGCAGCGTTGATAATACATAGATGTTTTTGTTATATGGACCTATTGTTGAGCAGTGCTTACGCGGGGCCAAGGCCTTTTCTGCTCCTCGCACTGCCCTGCCAGTGGGATGGCTGGGGGTGCACAAAAAGTTGGGAGGAGACACAGGTCAGGTGACCCAAATGGACCAAAGGGATACTCCATACCATATGACCTCATGCTCAGTTTATAAGAAGCTTGGGGGGGAGAGGAGGAACTGGGGGGCAGTGGTGTTTGGAGTGATGGCGTTTGTTTTCCCAAGTAACCGTTACGCGTGAGAGAGCCCTGCTTTCCTGGAGAAGGCTGAACACCTGCCTGCCCATGGGAAGTGGTGAATGAATTCCTTGCTTTGCTTTACTTGTGCACGCAGCTTTTGCTTTACCTATTAAACTGTCTTTATCTCAACCCACGAGTTTTCTCACTTTCACTCTTCCAATTCTCTCCCCCATCCCGATGTGGGGGAGTGAGTGGCTGCGTGGTGCTCAGCTGCCAGCAGGAGTAAAACCACGACATGCCCTCAGACTGCTGGAGCAGTGCTTTCACCTTTGTAACCAAAAGGATCTTCTCCCTATTGCTTTGTACTTCAAAATTAACCTAATGACTGAAAGCAACAAACACAGAGATCAAGTAAGGTCCTGATCAAATGGCATAGTTACTGTGCAATAAGTATTTCAGAATGCACCAGACAAAGCTGCTTACCTGGGAGGACACCTTCAATTTCTTTTCCCAGTTGGCCCCATTGGCTAATGGGAGAAGTTTTATCTTCCTTCTCTCTTTCTTATTACTCCCCCAACCTGAAGCAACTTTTACTGTTAGAGTGATTGTATTTTCCACAATGCATGAACGAACCTTTGCATGGAAATCTGTCTCAACATCCTTCGTTCAACAAGAAAATACCAAACACCTCCAGCATTGGTTTTTTGCCCCATCAAAAGCTTCTGAGAATCTTTGGGATACGACAAGGTTGAAAGCAATTGTGGCAAGGAGTCATTCAGAACCAGATTATCAGAGACTATCAAAGATACTTACAAACGCAAGCAGAGAGTCTTTTTGATAACAATTGCAGTGGGAGTGGGGGAGGCAGAAGGGAAAGAAGCTTCCGCTGTTCACTTACCTGGATTTGATACTATATATTGACAAAAGACGCTATCATCATCATCATCATCTTCTGCAAGATTACAAGAATGGGGTGACAAAGCTCTTAAATCAAGTTCCTTTCAAAAGAAAAAGTTACACAAGCAGGCTGAAAAAACCTGCCTATCAACAGCAATTAACAGAATTATTTACAACAGCTTTTCTGCAAACCAGCTGTCAGACAACATGCAACTTTTCCTTTCTCTGCTGGGTAGCTAGGCAAGGGTATAACCTCAGATCCCTATTATCAATGTGAGCGTCAGAATAGAAATTATTGTTCATTCATCCAGCAGATCACTTTAAAAGGGAAAACCAAAACTCAGCAGATGTTCAGGTTGATAGCACGTGAAAGGTCCATTTCCATAGGGAAAAGGACATAGACAAAACCAAAACCAATCAGCTTGCTCTTATACTGATCTCCTGTCTTGACGAGAAGGTTCCATCCTCCATCTCAAACGAAGACACCAGCTGTCATTAAGTCAAATGTATCTTCTTTAAGAAAGACTACTTCATAAAGCAATTTCTGCTATATTGTGCTGATTCCCTAACCTTACATATAAAGCCTAAGTGTTGCAATAGAACACACCAGCTTAGATGTGCATCCTCTCTCACCTTCACCCCTTCTCTTCCCCAGCATCAGACATATTGAACACTACTTACTGGATCCTGATCCAAGATAAAATCAAAAGGACACAGCTGAAGAAAGCTTTTCCACTTCACTTCCCAGTATTTCTGTTTTGTAGAAATAGATCCAGTCACTGACACACAATGCTGTTCATCTCGTAGCCTGTAACATATGAAAATGGAAATGCACTGCTCAGGAGGAGGAGGTAGAGAAATCAGGAGTAAAGGTAAGCCCGGGAAGAAGGGAGGGGTGGAGGTAGGTGTTTTTAAGATTTGGTTTTATTTCTTATTACTCTACTCTGTTTTGCTTGGTAATAAATTAGATTAATTTTTTCTAAAGTGAGTCTGTTTTGCCCATGACAGTAATTGGTGAGTGATCTCTCCCTGTCCTTATCTCGAATTGTTGTATTTCCTCTCCCCTGTTCAGTTGAAGAGGGGAGTGAGAGTGGTTTTGGTGGGCACCTAGCTCTATCTTGCAAAACCTCTGATGTGTATCAACTTATTAATGCATTTGTGCAAGCATTAAGAACTAACTGAAATTCACAACCTAAAAAGCAGCTGCTAGGTAGTCTTCATGTTTCTTACAGTAGAGAACAATTTTACTAAAATACATACATACAATGAGATACACACTTAAACTTTCCCTATGCCAATTTCAGATAAGTTTTTAAAATCCTAGAACTAATTAACATAACAAGAAAAAAAATTAAAATCAGATCAGCTAGCAAACGAGGTCCCTAGGAAAAAGCCTAAAATATATTAATGAAGCAAGGACAAAAAGCTGAAGTTACCTAGAGAAGAATCTCAGTTAAAAGTTACACAGTCAAGACATATGTGAATTTCCCAGAGGCGAAGGAAAAAGATCGAACCAACATGTTCTCTCCGTAAGTGATATTATGTTAGAAAAGACTCTCAAGTAGGAAGACATGATCCTTAGACTAAAGTACAAGGAATCAGAGAAAATTTCCAGACAATTACCTCTTTGCTTCCAAAGCCTGTAGTACTTCATTGTGGAGCATAAGCTTATTCTCAAAGACCTGAAGTTGTTTTTTTACTTCAGATTGAAAATATGCATCTCTCAATGTCCTCAAAGCTTCATTTAATAACTGAATAACTGTTAAGAAATTCAGTTTTTCAGCTTCATATACATTTCCTGTACAACACTTGAAATATAGCAAGCAGGAAAAAAAAAAGAATTAGTGAACAGCATCGATATCAGAAAGTTATGCTTCTGTAGTCAGAGCAGGGATAAAAAGTTCTACTTTGTATTGTGATTCAGTTCCTGATTGTTTCATTTTTCAAAAAACACACTCTAGATTTAAGCCTCAGGTTTGTTTTCTAGCATCAGCTACTTGAAAGCAGCCTATAAAGCAATACGAATTAAGAAAACTTCAACTTTTTAAAGGTATCTAATTATACCCCTGGAGAATAAAAACCAAAACCAAACCAACAAAAACCAACCAACAACAAAAAAAACCACACCTCAAAAAAAACAGTTTAGCAAGAAGGACAAAAATTACTTACTTGGTGTATGTCATTTTCAACTTTGTGAACCAACAATTCTGGAACACTGAAAACAACGTTAGTTCCATCTAAAATACACCGACCATCACGCTCTTCAAGTACAGAATCCACAACTTCCTTTTCCTTTTTCAGAGATGTAAGCATTTCCATTATAAGTGTCCACATACTGCGGACCTTAATAGGTAAGAAGGACAAAAATGCTACATTAAAATGTTTGATATCTGTGACAACAGAGTATCAAAACAGCATAAAGGCAGATGAAGGGGCTAGCATAATCACAGGTAGGCAAGTGGAAATGACAGTATCCGAGAGTAAGTGTTGTAGAAATCTAAGTTGAAATACAGTACGCTGCCACAGCAGAAAAGAAATGCTCACCTTTTGAATTCTCTCAGTTTTGTCATTTTTGTTTTGGTCATCTTGTTTCATCCTAAATGCACATGCAAAACAAAAGTTCAAGTGAACTACAATGAAATTATAGTCCATATTTCATAAAATTGAGTAAGAAATCAATTTTATATATGCTAACTTAGTTACAAGGAAAAACACTTACTTGCAAGACTGCATCTGCAGGACTTCATATTCAGAGTTTATCTGGTTTATTTCTGTAGTTAAAAGCCTAGGAAAAAGCTAATGGTTACCACAGATTTTTAAAAAATCCATGCTTCTACTCTACTATTCTCACAATTCCTCACAATCACTAACAATCATGCTTATTCTTTCCAAGTCTGCATAATGAGGCAGTTTTGGAACAAGGCAAAAAAACCCAACCAAACAAAAAAACCCAAAAACTTCTTGACTTCCTCACCATGACTTTGTGCTGAAAGATAGCCAGGAAAGCCACTAAGATATCGGTAAATTAAGCAATTAAGCTGTCACTTATTCTATTGCATTGGAACAGGTTTATTAGACCCAAAAACAATAATGAAGTTACTGGAAATGTAGTTTATCAATACAAAGCTCCAAATATATTCAGCAATTGTACAGTACCTAAATCCCTCAGTTTCAAAAAACTAGAGAACAGCATACTGGAGTACGAGCAGCTGAACCACAAAAGTTCTTTTGCCAAAGCCAATTCTTAAGCCTGTGAAAACACGGTGGCCTGATTTTCAGAAACAATGGGTGCCTGAATTGTGCTGAGTTCTAAACGATCTTTTGATGCGCTGTTGAGAATAAAATCCTACAGAGAATTATGTTTTTGAAGGGTATCACTCACAAGATAAGCAAGAGCACTAATGCTTCCTAAGTAGGTTGAGAGGACATGCAGAATTATAGAAATTGGAGAAGTTTAGAAGACTTTGACCTCCTGAAATTATATTGCTGAGCCTTCCATTGAAAGCAGAGCCTTCAATTATGTTTCTCATGGTCTCGTCAAGCCAAGTCTTAAATGTTTCCAGCAAAGGAGATTCTACCACTTTTCTGGGCAACTTATTCCAGTGTTGGTTCTCATGAGATTTTTTAAATTCATTTTTTTTCATCCAGATGGATTTTTCCCTTAAGCACCTTTGGCCTGTTGCCTCTTGTCCTGTCACCATATATCCTTGTGAAGACAGTACCTCCATCTTCTCTACAACTGCCTTTTAGATATAGGAAGATTGCAATTAAACCCCCTGAGCTCTGTCTTCCTCAGGCTAAACAAACCAAATTTCTACAGCTTTTAGTCATGCATTTCAAGTTCTCCAACACTCTAATCACTGTGGTCCTGTGCTAGAATCTCTCCTCTCTTTCAGTCTCTCTCCTCAACTGCAGAGGTGGGGCGGCAACAAAACTGAATGCAGTGTTCCAGGTGTGACCTTAGAATTGCCAGGTAGAGTGAAATACATCTGTTTATCTGCTGGCTGTGTTTCTTTTCATACAGCCTAGGAGGCTGTTGGTCTTCTTGGCTAGCAGGGCACACTGCTGACTCACGCTCAGCTTTGTGGCCCAACATTACTCTCACCTCTGGTTCTTCTTAGCAGAGCTGCTTCTCAGCCAGTCACTCAGTGTGACTGTGCTGCAGTCTGTACTGCTGTTGGGGATTACTCCATCCCAGGTGCAGGACTGCACACTGATCTTGGATAAACCTCACAAAATTCTTGTTGGGCAAGTCTCCAAACCCAGCAAGGTCTCTCTGTGTAATGGTTCTTCATTCCAGTATATCTACCTTTCCTCACGAACTGGCATCATCTGCAAGTCTGGTGAGTTTACATTCAATCATGTCATTAATATCCCTTATAGGGACAAGGACCTTTAGCTGAACTTTGGCCTTCATAACTTTATCGCTGCACACCTGAGAAATATTTCTGTATTTATGTCTGGGAGTCAGTCCCCCTCTCCATATTCCATATGCTGCTGCTTTGGTTTCTGAGCTGTATCACTAGCTCACTGTTTTAACCATGTTGGTTTCTTGTTATGCTTGCTTCTTTTTCCCCTTAAGGGGATGGACCATGCTTGAGCTTCAGCAAGGATCTCTGAAAATATCCTAGCACCCCCAAGAGCTTCTGTTTTTCACAGAATACCTCCTAGCAGTTCCCTGGGCAAGTGGAAATCCGCTCTTTTAAATCCACTGTCATTATTCTTCCACTTGTCTTCCTCATGTTCCTTAGGATCTTAAGTTCTACAGTCTTGGCTACAGTGACCATAAGGCTCCTGTTGGTAGTTATGTCTGCACAAAAGTCCCTCTTGCTTGTAAGCACTTGAGTTCAGAAGAGCACCAGTCGTACTCAGCACACCCAGCGATTGCATTACAAAGTAATCCTCAACACACGCCACTTTTCCCCTATTGCTAATGCACCTCTGTATTGCTTTCCCAGCAAATACCATGGTAAGATGAAGTCCTCTGCAAGAATCAAAGGCTGCATGTCTGAGGCGCTTCAGTTCGTCTGAAGGCAGCTTCATATACCTTCCCTCGTATAGAGGAAGAAGTGTATAGTAGACCCCCACCATAAGGTCTCCCTTGATGCTAAACCCTCTAATCTTTATCCAAACGCATGAAACAGACCAGTCCTCTTGTAAGGAGCTATGCTACATGCACTGAAATTGGTCTTTTACCTACAGTGCAACTCTGCCTCCTTTTCTGCCATTTACTAAATAGCTTACAACTGTCCATGACAGTGCTCCAGTCATGTAAACTACCTGGGATAGAGTTAATTTTCTTCTCAGGAGACTCTATGATGCTACGTTTTGGATTTGTGCTGAAAAAAGTATTGATAACACAGGGAAGATTTTGTTACTGCTGAGCAGTGCTTACACAGAGCCAAGGCCTTTTCTCCTTCTCACCCCACCAGAGAGTAGGCTGGGGGTGCACAAGGAGTAGGGAGGGGATACAGCCAGTACAGCTGACTCCAACTGACCAAAGGGATAGTCCATGCCATATGGGGTCATGCCCAAGTATATAAAGCTGGGAGAAGAAGGAGGAAGGGGGTGGCATTCAGAGCGATGGCATTTGTCTTCCCAAGTAACCATTACACATGATGGAGCCCTGCTGTCCTGGAGGTGGCTGAACACCTGCCTGCCCATGGGCAGTTGGGAAGGAACACCCAGGGAACTACAGGTCAGTCAGTCTCACCTCCGTGCCTGGCAAGATCATGGAGCAGACCCTCCTGGAGACTGTGCTCAGGCACATGGAAAATAAGGTGGTGATTGGTGACAGCCAACATGGCTTCACTAAGCGCAAATCACGCCTGACAAGTTAGGTGGCCTTCTATGATGGGGTTACAGCATCGGTGAATAAGGGAAGGGCAACTGACGTCATCTACCTGGATTTGTGCAAGGCTTGTGACACTGTCCCGCACAACATCCTTGTGTGTAAATTGGAGAGACAAGGAGCTGATGGATGGACCACTCAGTAGATAAGGAATCG